TATATATATATATATATATAACATAAAGTAAGTTAAATATAAATTAAAATTTAATTTCAATTAAATTTTACCTAATAAAATATAAATTAATTTTATTTTTAATTAAATTTAATTTATAAAATTAAAAATTATTATTTTATTATTATTTTTTGCGTGTAGCGGGTACGTGTGGGGCGAATAGTTTCATACCCAACCTGTTTAGAAGCGGGTATTAAAATACTCGCTACCCGTTACCTGTAGGTAGTAACTACCCGTCGCGGATTTTACACGCGGATACTCGTAACCCGTGGAGTTTTTTGTCATCCCTACTCTTGAGCGTCCCTCCCCTTCACAGGTGATGATAAATCAACAGTCGACATTATTACTTGAAAGATAAAGAAGAGTTGGACGATCGGTTGGCAGAGAAAAGTTAAAGGCAAAGGTGAAGATGACAGGTGGTAAGACCCAACCGTATTTATAGCCAAAAGGGACCTCCCCGCCAGCCATGTTGGACCAAGCCATATCCTCACAGCATTAGACTCTGCGAATTTCGATCGGCGCAAGGCTCAAAGTTGCACGCATCTTTCCCTCAACGGTAATAATTCAAAATTTTGAAAATCATTAATCGCTCAATTGAACGGTCCAGAGGCCAACTAGACGAGCGGCCAAGGATGATGTTTCTTCAAAAAAGATTGAACAACAGAAGTTTCATCCCATTACAAACCCCTTTGCTTGTCATGACAGACTCGGGCGTGGGGGCCTATGTATCGTATGACCGTTTAACTGGACGGGCAACCGTCAGTCGAATTCCTCCATGAACCTTCCTTGTGACTAAACAACCATGGAGGCGGACCGAATGGTCAATTGTTAAGAAGATTAACTCTAATGTTGAATAACTTAAGATAAAGTGTGATTACCACCAATTGGACTGTAATTAGGTCATTGTTAATCAAAGGCTCACTCCAAGATTTATAAATACAGATTTGAGATAAAGAGATAGGTGATTTGCATTTACTACAACATTAAAATTTCAATTGTCAGATATTGAACTAACATTGGCATCAAAACATCTTTTGCAAATACCCTTCAAACAATACTAGCAAACGAATATAATAGATTTGAAACAAAAGATAACATTTCAGTTCTTTAAACTACCACCTGAACATTGGATGTTGAACTCAATCCTAGACCCAAAATACCAATGAGTCTTATAAAAGGATGATTCTAAAATTGTTGTTAAAAAAAATTAGTAATAGTTATTCTATTTTTCAGCGTAAGTAAGAAATGAGTAAAATTCTATCCTGTAATTAAATATTGATAACTATTTTGAAAAAAGAAAACTCCACCGACTCAAATTTATAAAATATAATACAAAATAATTTGTTAAAACATAAATATTCAAATTAAAGCTTATAAATAAAATTTATAATACAAGATATAATTTAGTCAAAAATTTGCTATTGACCTTGAAATGTGGAAAACATAGATTAAATGATAGACAATATTAAACCCTATGGAAATCCATTTTATTTCAATTTTTAAAATTTATTCTTTGGTACTTGTACCACTCCCAGCAACTATACCATTTCAGTAACTCTCTTGGTAGTGCTGAAATCCTTAATTAGCCTCTTATCCTAACAATGGAGGATTCATGGCATAGCTTGGTTTCTCAATGGGTAAACATACTCATTATTATATTATAGTTATTGTATTAGGCTACACTTGAAGCCAATTCTTTTCTCACATTATAGTTTTATGAACTAATTTATGAACAAATTAGCATGGTTCATTTCTTACATACATTATTCACATTTTCTTTTTTCATTTGGTAATAATAGGAAATGGATGATTTCTTCAACCAAAGCCACACGATCCATTGCAATGAAGAAGAGTCTCCGAAAAACATGATTGTTTTCTCTCACGAAAGCAATATTCCATCTTCTTCCTCCCTCCAAAGTAACTTGAACTCGAAAACTTCATCAATTTCTGCTGGCCATGTTTTGGGTTTTGATAACCCTAATTCTGAAGCACATCAGAACCACTCTTCCAAAAGCACGAAACAGAGCCAAAACGCGATTCCAAGAGCAAACAGACAACATCACATATTGGCTGAGAGAAAAAGGAGAGAAGAATTGACGAAGAACATCGTAGAACTTTCCGCCATCATTCCTGGGTTAAAAAAGGTGTGTTCTGTTCCCATTTGAGCTATACTAACTCGACAAAATCCCAAAAAGTCTTTGTTTTTACAAAAATAATTTCGAGGAATAAAATTTAGGAACACGACATAGTTTATAATATTTCTAAAATACATCCATGAAAATTATTGAAAAATGATATTTTAATATACATAATTTTTTTATTTTTACTTAATATTATTTTCTTATAATCATTTTAGTTATATATATATATATATATATATATATGTGTGTGTGTGTTATGTACCATCCCAAAAATACAGTTTAAAACTATATAAAAGAATAATCACATTAAGTAATATTACAGATCAGTCTTACATTAAAAGAGGAGTATATTTATAACTGAACGATCTTCCTATACATAACAATACATCACAATATCATCAACATCAATGTGTGCTTACAAATATTCAAATCATTAAACATAATTAACTTCAAATAATGCTTTACAACACAATATAAATTTTCAAAAACCAACCAAAACACACTGGTAATCGATTACAACAAGCTTGTAATCGCTTACCAGGGTGGTTCTTGCACACTTAAAACACTGGTAATCGATTACAGAAGTGTCGTAATCGATTACCAGTAGCATTTTTGCCTACTACACTGAAGTCGTGCAGGGGGTCATGATTTCAATACTGTGTAATCGATTACCACTATCTTGTAATCGATTACAGGATCCAGAAGTCGTTTTTGGATGCACGACTTCACCACTGGTCAAATGCACAGTGTGAAGTCGTGCAGGCGGGACACAATTTCTTCATTTGAAGTCGTTTTGACCCCTCACGACTTCTCCATTTTAGTATTTTGAATTGAATTTATCTATTCTCGTAATATATGATATATTTTTGTCTATTTTGGTAACAAAGCCATAAGTAGCTTTATGAAGTCAGATTTTTACCCTGATGATTTATACTCATTAAAGTCCAGTTTTTCTAGGTCTAAATTAAAAAAAATTAATAACAAAAGAAAAAAAGTCAGAGTAATATTTATCAAAATGGGCCCTGCTATCATCAAGAAAATAATAAATGATTTTAAACATAAAGTCTAAACCTACCCCACCTAAATATTGGGCATTTGGAAAAACTACACAAAGTAAATGAGGGAATTCTCAAATCATTTTCAACGTGATAGAAAACCTTTGAGGCACTGTATCGAAAAAGTTATAATAATAATATAAAAAAAATATTTACGTGTTTTCTGGTAACACGGTGTTTGTGCAATCATACATAGCCGACAAGAATGTGGTACTGGAAATTTCTACTACGTGACATTTTTTTGAGTGATTCATGAATTTTAACACGTTTTCAGAGAGACAAGGGCAGTGTGGTACTTGAAGCTGTGGATTATGTGAAACGACTTAAAGAACGAGTGAAAGAGCTGGAAAATAAAAAGAGTGAAATTATGAATTCAAGAAGCCTCACCAAGAAACCAACAAGTGTGGAAGAAGAACTTCCAGAAATGAAGATTTCCGTTTCAGACAGGGAAGTGCTTATAGGAATTTTTTGTCACAATCCAAGCAATACTTTAGTCAAAGTGTTGTCGTTGCTCGATAATCTTCATCTTTCTACGAGATGTTCTAGTGTGTTGCCATTTGGAACTTCAACATTTAAGGTCACTATTATTGCTAAGGTACACAACATTTAATTTTTGAAAGCAACACTGTCTTGTCATGTTTGTTTGTTCACACTTTAAGTTCCCGCTGTTCGCGGACCTTATCCCTGTCTTATATAAAACAAGAAGCATTTAAGACATATATCTTCCCAGTTAAATTGACACATTAAGATGGTAACACGTTGAAGACTTCTTACAATATTCTTCTTTTTCTTTATGATAAACTTTAACCAAAAAGAAAATACTTTAATAAGGTTAAAATTTGTTTTTATTATAAATTTTGATATATTTTAATATTTAAATTTAAATATATATTTAACAGTGGTAATTTTTTTTTTGTATTAAATAATGCTTTGGACTTATATTTAAGTTAGAATGTACCGTCTTAAATGATGTGCCTAATTTAAATATCAGTTTAAAAATTTATTTAACATGTTAAAAAATATTTATACAATTATATTAAAAAAGTTATATTTATTTATTTTTAAAATTTGAAGATTAAGGAAAACTGAAATCTAAATTTACGTTTAATTTTAAAGACTAAAAAAGATATTTAATTATAAAAATAAGTATTTACAATAAAAATGGAATTATTTATATTTGTTATTTGTATTGCAGATGAATGACGAATATAGCATGACCATCGATGACCTAATAAAAGAAGTTGGAGGACGCTTATTGAAGTCACACAAGGTGGTAAAGTGAATCAAGAAGTGGTTTTGGTTGTTAGGAATTGGAAGCTTTTGAAGTGCATTGCCAAGTTTGTAGTTTTTTAGATCTTGAAAGTTGATTTCAGAGGACTATTCAAAATTTGTGGAGTGTTTAAGATTGAAAAATGAAAGAATATGAAACTTTAATTAATTTAAATATTTATAATTCTAATAAAGATAATAATATTTTGATAATATTTTTTTTACAACATTTTAACACTATTTATATGTCATTATGTAATCGGTCTATATTGATGTTTATGATTATTATTATTGATTGTTAAATAATTTTGAACCAATTATAGAATAACATATAAAAAATATTAAAATATTATAAAAAAGTATTCTCAAACTATCATTTTCCTTGATTTAGCTACATTGCTGTAAGCTGGTTCCCACACACCGGAAGAACCCTTCACAAAAGTTTGTACAATTTTCATGTCAGAATTAAATACAACATTGATGGCCACGGAAACTTAACGGGAAATTGACTTCACCGTAGATCCCTTTTCTTCTTTCCTTTTTCAACTGTTTATAAAATATTTTTACTTTTAAAATTTAAGAAAACATTAACTTTTCATGTTTATAATTTATCTAATGTTTAATTAGTATATGTATTTAAACATTTCAAAATTTCAATATTAATAATATTATAATATTCATCACATATTTAATAAACTAAAACACTTAAACAAAATGTATACATAAAAATGTTATAATTATCAAAATATAACTATTATAGGAAAATATATACGAGAAAAAGAAATCCAACAAATCCTTTCACACCTAAGAATTAAAGTATAACCACAAGTTTGTTAAGAGCACATATACATATATTTTCCTATAGAAATATATACAACTAAAATGAAATCTTAATATAAATATTTGCTCTATCTTCTTTTTTTAAAAACTGAGAGAATTCATTATCTGCTGGAAAAAGGTAAGTTAATGTTATTAAATAATATTACATATATAATCATTCACAGACATCAAATTATAATTTACTTTAAATGGACAATTCAGATGTATTGTTATCAAACTATAAAAACCTTACACTTTCCTGATTTTTAAAAATATAAATTAGAACTTAACTGAAGAAAAAACAAGCATCAGAAATTTTAGATAAATGATAAGTATTTTAAGTATAAAACGAATTTCTATTTGTACCTTTTACTTTTGAATATTAAAACAACATGATATTATTATTTAAATACTTTACCAACTTTCAAAATTTTATTTTTAAATTATTATTATTATTATTATATATATATATATATATATATGTGTGTGTGTGTGTGGGGTGATATACAAGTAAAAGAATATCTTATAAATATTGTATTTTAAAATTAAGGAAATTTGTAGGATTAATTGATTCCCAATAAAAAAAATAAAATATATGAAGAATCTTAGACAGTAAAGTTAAAGAAAATACTAAATCAGTGTGGTTTCGCTCTATTCGAAATAGAAAAGTAAAAATGAAAAATAAAAATAAAAGTTGAAATTATTTAATTGAAGAGAAATAAAAAATATACTAGAAACGTTATTTAGTTAAAAGAATTGTTTTTATTATAATTGTTTTTATTATAATATTATACTGTATTACTTTTATTCATATATTATTTTTATCTATTCAGTGTACTTGTATACAGGGTAAAGTAATTTTTTCTTGGTTTAATACTTGGTCCCTCAGTTTGTAAGGTGTGTTTAGAGTTGTCTTTCTTTTTTTCAAAAGTTCACTAATGTTCTATATTTTGCAAAAACGGTTCACGTTAGTTCTTTTTGTTTACGGCGTTAAAAATGCCAACGGCAGACTTGTTCTGCTGGAAAAAACTTGATGATGTATACAATTATTGTTGATGTGGCACTGTGAGGTCATTTGAGGCCAATGAGAAGATGGTACGTGGTAGAACCCTTTCCACCCAAATTTAGGGTTTAACAATTGCAGAATGGACAAGGGCTTTCTCTGCAACTGGAGGTTCTACCACGAATTATCGTGGAAGCAGGATTCAGGTATTCACAACGGCGGCGCGATTGTTGTGCAAAGGAGAACACCATGACACTACGATTCGGTCCTCGTGATGTAAATGAGCTTCTGGATTTATTTTGCGCAAGAACGATGAACTCGCGAGGAGGAATATGCAATTTAGGGTTTCTGTTTCTAGATTTTTGTGTTTAATTTTGCTAAAACTTTTTAACAAAGCATGGAAATATGGTCTTGTGTTATTAAATAATGCAATCAGAGTATAAAGTCCTTTGGGTGAAAATCAAACATGTTTATTTTAGGTGGGGGCAGTAGTTCTTTGTAGGAGCTTGGCGATTGGTTGCTGTAGAAGGGTTTCTCCACTATAATTTTGTTCTTTACAGAAACAATACCCACCATTTTCTTTATTTCATTTAATGATTTCTGTGTTATTACCTATAATGCTTCTTGATTGCATCAAACTTTTCCCATCTACTGGATTTGTTGAGAGGGGAAGTTTGGAGGAACGAGATCAAAATTTTAGGAAAGGGGTAGAGGAATGTCGTATTAAAAAATGGATGCTAAGATTGCCATTTTGGAGAATGAAATGACAAACCTCAAGACAACTTTAGCAACAATGTTGTTGATGGTGGAAGAAAATCAAAAGAAATGGGTGTTAATGCTGGAGTGGAAGAAAATGGATGCTCCAATTGTGAAACCCTAATTTTGAGTGGAAAGAGATATGCCACATGACATCTTTTCATTGACATCAAATGACCTTACACTGTCACGTCAATAATTATACACGTCATCAAGTTTTTGCCAACAGAACAAATTTGTCGTTAGCATTTTTAACGGTGTAAGCAAAAAGGACTAACGTAAATAATTTTTACAAAATATAGGACGTTAGTGAACTTAAAAAAAAAAACAAGTTTAAACACACCTTAAAAATCAAATAACCAAAATAGATATTAAACATTTTTTTCTTTCATGAATTTTCGTACTTTCTTGAGTTTGGAGCCAGACTACTCGGCTCCTTGACCATTGCACGTGATCATCTGCGCCCTCTTGATGTGAAAACATCACTGAAACAAAACAAGTAAACAACACGCCAAGCCAAAGCAATGATTTATAGAATCTTTTATATCCAAATGAATTTTCAATCTTATTTTATTTAAACATTTTTTTATAAATAGCATATCCTCTTCATTCATTTTTGGATATATACGAAAAACCATGTGTTCTAGGAAAGTAATTTTCCTTTTCAATAGTCCTATCACGTTAAATAGTCACATATAATTTAAGAATTGAAATTTAAATTGTTTAAATATTTATTTCCTTTTTTATTCTAACATCTTTTAATAATAAAATCGTAATAAATTTTACATTTCAAAATAAATAATATTTTATATATATAATGATTAATCCTAATAATATAAATTACTACAAAAATAATCATTAATGTTACTTTGTTTATGTTGAATAGAAAAAAAATCAATTTAAAAATGTACTTTTTTTATGAGTATTCAAATATAATATATGTGAAAAACTCCTATTAAATTAGATTTAAAATTTTTAATTTACCGATAGAATTTCCTTATTATAGACGAATATGTAAATCAATTTTTTTTTCTTGTAGTGCACATCTTAATTCTTGTCAAGTCTAATGAGGTTGAAACATCCTATGTATTTTCTTAATGATTTTTAGCAAAAGTTTCCTTTTACTTTTGTCTTATAATGAAACTTACGTTTGAACCTTTTTTCGCAGCTTATAAGGTGAAGAGGATATTCCACTTTTTAACGAACTCCTCTTTTTGTTATTTCTCCCTTTTACTTGATAAAAATCCTTTCGTTTTTTGTCACATAATTAACCGATCGATATAATCTATTGCCATTTATATTTACATTAAATATAAAAATAATTTAATTTAACAAAAATAATTGAAACCCATTTATTGCGTAGATGAAATTTTAATTTTTTTTTTCTCATTTTGTTTTTTTAATATAATTAAGTTTGCAACCCATTTTAACAGCTTTAAATTCAACCCACCACTAGTTAAATTTTCAGTCAACCAAATATATATATATATTCTGAATGGTATACAGTCCGAGAAGATTTTTGATGCACTAGCACGCATCACAAACTAACTTGCTGCATGTCATACACATTCAACAGATATTCTCTCAGATTCTTCACTAACTCATCCATGTTCATTCTGCATTCCTCATCCATCTGCATAATAATAACACAACATTACAGATCATGCATTTGCATGATTAATCATAAGGGTGCATGAAAGGTGTTTGATATATGTACCTGAGCAATGATGTGGATTATAAGAGTACAAGTGCCAAATGGTAATACACTGCTACTGGTTGGAGAGAGATGCAGCTTTTCAAGAAAGGCTAGTATGTTGCAGACTGTGTCCTTTTGCTTCTCACAATGGATTCCAATCAGTATTTCCTCATCTAGGACTCTTGCTTCAACCTCAAACAGTGATTCTTTGTTGCTTTCACTGCTATTGCTCAAGCTTTTCTTTGAGCAAACTTCAGATTTTCTTACCAATGTTGATGAATGATGTACTACTCTTTTCTCACTGTTTTTATTTTCCAATTCTTTCACCCTCTCTTGAAGTTGTCTTGTGTAATTCACTGCTTCACGAAGTACGTAAGCCTTGTCCATCTGTAAAGTTACACACCAAATCTTACCGTTAATACAAACTAACACAATTTTTAAATATTCAACTTCTTTGTTGATATTATATTATATTATATTTTTTTTAAGTGCTTTGCATCTCAAAAAGAACAATAATGCATTTGGGACTTTAATTATGAGGAAAATATTTTTTTAATAATTTTTTTTCACAGCTCTTTTACAACTACGTATATTATATTTTATAATTGATTTATTTTAAATATACGTATCATTAAAATAGTAATAACTGCTCTAAAAAAGTTGTTAAAATATGTAGTACAAGTGTACCATGAAAACTTTATTTTTTTCTTTACTCGGGTCAGGTTTTGAATAAAATATATTTCCCATTTGCAGTGATAATAATAGTGAAAGTGCTCCCCAATTGCCCTATTCTGCCCAATAATTAGTGTAAAATTGTAAATAAATAATTTCAAAATTAAAATTAAAAAGACATTGACAAAATAATGTCGGGACAAGCTGTTGAAAAGGGATTCCATACCTAATCAAGCATGAGCGAAAAGCACAACAATTATTTGGAAAGAACAATAAAATAACCTTTTCATTTGTTTTATTATCCAAAAGTTAATTGATAATACAGGATTACCGTTTTAATGTTAGACAGTAACACATCTGAGTTTATGTACTTTTCTAAGTCTAAAACGTGTTAATAATATTTTTTCCATTCACAAGATGTGTTGAAGATATAAAAGAACATATCAAACTATTTCATTACATATTTTATCAATTTATATTACTTCAATAAAGCTAATTTAATCCCTGCAAAAAGAATACAGAGGAAGATGAAGACAAAACGCAAAGTCCGAGAAATAAGAATTATCTTACTATTTCCTTATTAATATAACAACTAGACTTTTCATTAAATGAGTTGACTCGAAAAGTAACAAAACAAAATAGGTCAATCACACTATATATATATATATATATAAAAGAAAATGCATGATGAAACTAATGTTAATTCTTATAAGAAAAATCAGTGTCTTCCATGGATCAAAAGAAGATATTTCTAACCAACACTGGTTGGCAAATAAAAAACAGAATTATTTATTAAAAAATGCAAATAAAAACCCATTAAATGTTTTTAATATGCATTTCAATGAAAGAAAATCAGTTTGAATTTTTAGATAATACTGAATGTTCATGATATAGTAACTGACCCTCTTGAGTCCAGGAATGGTGGCTGAAAGTGCTATGATGCTCCCTGTGAGTTCCTGTCTCCTTTTCCTCTCAGCAATGATGTGATGCTGTGTCTCACGAGACCTTCTAGCCCTCTTTCTTGGCTGAGCCATGACAGGTTCAACCTGAGATCCATCTTTCACCACAGCACCACCCCTTGTACTGCAAGATCCCTGCAGTGTAGAAGGCTTATGTTTTGCGATTGGCTCAGCAGTTGAAGTATCAAAAGAGAGAAGGTATGCTGCTGCTGATGATGATGGTGGTGGTGGTGGTGATGTTTTCAAGGACTTGATGGAGTTGGAACTGTAGCTTTTCTGCAGAGTGTCACCCATTGCTTCATCAAATGACACGCTGCTGTTGCTGGGACTGTTGTTCTCTCCTTCAGGTGACAAATTCTGTGGCTCCTCAAGGATCTCTCTCAGGAACTGTTGCTCATCAAATGCATCATACTCTTCCATTTCCTGTGACAACTATGAACAAAAAGTTCTGAACTTTTTCCCTGGTTTGTTCATGGATATATAGCAGAATGCATACTCAAAAACCCAGAAATTGAAACTAAATGTGGTTGAAGAAGGCTTTACCAGATCGGAAATCCAGTTCTCCAATGAATCCTCCATGTTTTATGGATCTGAGAACTCCTTTTGTGTGAACCTCTGTGTTTCTGTGAAGCTGATAGCAGCACTATTGCAACTTCTGTATCAGATTGCTGTGACTGTAACAAGGTTCAACTTTTATATATACTACTTGTATTCTAGGATGATTTTTTATTTTTTATTTTTTATTTTTTATTTTTATTTTTCTCACACCTTTCATGCGATTATTATGTATTGAGAAATTTATACTCGTTTCAAGCATACTCCAGTTGACTAAACAAGTTGTGCATTTTATTATATTATTTACATGGTTTTCATTTTGTGGCAGGTGGTGTAAAACAAATCCTTAAAGTCAAAAAATTAATATTTTATAACATATTTAGTCTTAAAATAAAAAAAAGTGCTATTTTAATAATTATACTGATTTTTAAATTGTAACAATTTAAAATGTAAATACAATTTTATAAAGGTGTGAATTTATCAGACATTATGATGGAAACAAAATTTATGTATGATGATTTATGTAGAGGTAATGTCACGTGATATAAAATAGAATGAAATCCTTGTAAATCCCTCTTAGTAGTAGAAATTATTTATTGGTTTTATTGGTGACTGATTTCTATGATGCAAATATTTTACTACCTTTATATAGTATCTTGTTCGGTAGTAAAAAAATTAAAAATAAATAAATTTAAAGTATAACCACAAGATAAAAAATAAAAAATATGTTAAGTTTATTATGATTTTTGCACGGTAATATGTTATGTTTAGGTTTATTATCATTCGACAGGTTTTTTTAGAATATAGATAGGTTCTTTAGATTTTTTTTTAACTGGATTTTTATTTTTGTAAAATTTACATGGTACATTGATGTTTGTTTTTTAAATGACGTGGCAAGTTGTTAGATAGCTAAGTTTGATGTAAAATTTTGTTTTTCTTTCAAATTAAAAAAATTGAAAAAAGTTAATTGAATTTAATTGCTTTTTAAAATTAGTGATTTTCACCTTACATCAGTCACAATCCTTCATCCTTAACTCTTTTGTGCCACTATTTTTATCTTGTATCAGTCATCATTAACATCGTTCAATTACCATTTTTATCACCTTCGTCACTAGAACTGCAAAAATCTAAAAAAATAAGGAAGTCACTATCAAACTCGTCTTTTTCCACCAGAATCACGAAACTCAGTTCGTGTCGCCATAAAAATCACCACAACAAACCAAATCAAAACTATGAATTCATCATCCACCTTCACCCAAACCATCGAAACACAACAACCAGTCATCATTAACACCGTTCAACTTGTTGAGGTACAAACAAAGTCTCATATCGGATAAAAAAAGAGTTGGACATGAGTTTATGTACACATAGATACCTCCATTGTTAAGAGACTTTTTGGAGTGGTACCAAAAACAAATCCGTGAAAGCTTGACCCAAAACGGACAATATCTTACCAAGTGTGGAGATCTATGTGTATATCCAACTTTTCCAACACAACTACCATCTTCATCATCCTCGCTACTAGAACTACAAAAATCCGAAAAACAAGAAAATCACTATCAAATTCGTATTTTCCCACATAATCACGAAACTCAGTTCATACCGTCATAAATATCACCATAACAACTCAAATCAAACTATAAATTCATCCTTCACCTTCACCCGAACCACTAAAACAAAACAAGCCAGTTAATATATAGTTTTTTATATATAAAAAATTATTATATTTTTTATGTATTTTAACTCATTTTTTTTACTTTTTGTCTTTTGCAATCTAGTAACTGTAAATGATACTTTATTATTTTTATTTACTTTCAGTCAAATATCTTTAAAAGTTATTTTTTATTTTTATTTATTTTCATCCCATGTATTTGATAAAGAAAAGATTATAGTAATAATGAAAATTACATGAACATTTCACGTGTCAAATATTTCAATAATTTTTCTTTGCATTTTTAAATCAATGACGCCTCACTTATTATATATTTTCTTTTTAAATATTGTCCACTATTTTCTCATAATCACAATGATGATGATATTTTTATATAGTCTGACATCATTAAAATAAAACATAATTAATATAAAATTTATAAAATACTTTTCATTATTTTTCAATTAAATCAGTCATTGTCCCTCTTTTGTTTTTTTCTCCCTTTATTATTGCACAAGATATTATATAAATTTTAGGTACGGACAATGTAGTATGTGAGCTAATCAGTGATAAGAATACATTATTAATCGCCAAAAATGGAACTTGTTGTTGGATCCAAGACTCAGACCACTATGACAATTATTGTGTGCAAAGTGCCAAAAAGTATAGTTTATTTTATTTCTCATAGGAAAATGAGTGAAGCTTTATTTTATTTTATTTTTAACTAAGTTGGTTAAAGTTCACTGTGAATCGAAATTATGAAATTACTTATATATATATATATATATATATATATATATATATATA